ATACATTTATATGCTTTCACATACTTATAAAGAAATAGATATTGTACCGTTTCTATCAGTTTTATTGTAAATAGTATACGGATGAAAATTAGAACGATGTATTAAAAATCCAGCTTCAAATGCCTCAATATCTGCTTTCTAGATTAAAATTATTGGTAATAATATTTCAAAAAGTTACGAATACAAACCGTTTTATGTTTCCCGTCTCTTAATTGTAAACCAATACATTCAGAAGAAAACTCACCACCGAGAAATCTAAGAACAAGGCTGCATTTTATTAATAAGAACTTACTATTTAAGGAATATCTGACTATCAGTAAATGATATTTTAATGGGCGAAACATGACAAACTATGACGTTTAAATCAAATGTTAATAAATATATGGCATTAATAAATAATTTCCTTTTATATTTAGCAACAGTATTTAAAGTTTTGTTATTTAATAGAATAAATTTGTTAAGTATTTACTACCTCAATATATACAGCACTGCGTTGCTACCTCTGAAAACCCAAGATGGCCGCTATTCACCCCTAAGAAATGTTAWCTACTGTATATACTGTGCTGTATATACTGAGCTTTACATTCTCTGCTTAAAGCATAGAGAAGGTGCAGGTTCGACAGCGAACATTTGCTAGATTTATAGTAAGGAATTCACCTTATTTGTTAAAATTGTAGTAATGCCGGCCATAGACCACACAAGTAAACTGTACAAGTCTAGCACTGCACAGTGCGTTTGTGTAGTGTATGGGGGTGTTTGTGCTACTTGTGCAGTGAACTGAGCAATATCAAAACGATTTTAATATTTTTACACAAGTCTGTATACTGCGCAGTGAATTTGCGTAGCATATGGCGAAATTAGCTCAGTTTTGTTTCAGTTTTTGTGAAGTTAACATCAAACCAAAAAAGGAAACAACGCATTTATTTTAATTATGAGTGATGACAAACAGTTTTGGACCGAATTCCTTGAACTTTATAAAGAATCACCTTCATTATGGCTAATAAAAAGCAAAAAATATAGCAACAGAATAATGAAAGCTGAAGCACACGAAAAATTAGTTTTAAAATTAAAAGAAAAATRTCTCGACGCAAACAGAGATATGGTGGTTAAAAAAATTAATACATATAGGACAACATACAGAAAAGAATTCAACAAAGTGCAAAGAAGCAAAAAGTCTGGAGCTGGATTTGAGGATATTTATGAGCCAACATTACGGTTCTATAATATTCTAAATTTTCTCGAGAATCAAGAGGAAAGTGCACCTARCACATGTTCAATGGAATATGATAGTTTAGAAGAGGTAAAAATAAGTAGTTTGTAAAATCTATATAAATATATAAATATTCACATAAATATGTAAAACTTATTTTTTTAAATTATAGACTCCACCAAAAACATTAACAACACAACATAGACTAAAAAACCTTAAAATTACCGAGGAAGATAATTTAATTAAAATAGCGTGCAAACACCTGAAATCACAAAATAACAGTAACCAACAAAACAACAATGACCCAGATGATGTGGTTGCCAGTGTATTGGCGCGTAAATTAATATCGGATGTTTTGTT